TCTAAATAATCTTTGATTGTGATATTCAAACTAAGGATAAATTGATTTGATTGACTTAATCATTTAGAAACAATTGAAAAGTGACTTTTTACTTTTAATTATGTAATTTCGCACATGACTCTAAATAATCTAAACTTTCACTCTCCTACCATTCCATTTTCATGATCTAAGCTACTTCCATTTCACTCATTCCATTTTCATGATCTAAGCTACTTCCATTTCACTCACTGCTATAGAAACTTCTGATTTCTTTTCCTATTAATTCTACATATCAAAGCACATTGCTAGTATTGTCGTATCAAAATTTGAATTATCTTAAGATCGACTAACAAGTTCGACCGAAAAATACATATTCAGACCCAAAATATAGTTGAAAAGAGAGACGTGGGGCCTCCTCTGGTTTTGGGGAAAACTGATGGGCCCCACTAATGGGTCCAATGGGGGAAGCTAAAATGACAAGATATTGAAGCATAATTTGGACGGTTCTTTGAGTTGTTCGACACGTTTCAGCTGTAGTACATTGACCAACTGGACTATTTTGTTGCAATAGTGGTGGAGTTGTACAATCTCTGTTTAACTCCAATAGAGTTTTGTTTGTTTTTATAACTTTTAAATTGGTATATTTATCTTTTGAATTCCTTGAAAATATTCGAAATATATTTTTTCTTTTAAAAAGAAATCAACTAATTATATTTTAGGTCATGTTTGAGCCGCATTCTTTCAAAAAAATGCATTTTTAAACAATGATTTGACATTATTTCAATCACATATTTTTCAATAAAATAATATCACACGTAAATTTAGAAAAACTTCTCATTTTTTAACCACAAATTATTCATCAATCTACTATTTCAAAATACATTTTTTCAAAATAATGTGGTTCAAACACGCGCTTAATCAATCAATTTTAGAAAAATGCCTCAAGGTTGTGGCCCATCTTTTGATCCATAAGGTATGGGGAAATTGACAAATTTAGCATTAGAATGTGAAGGTTTACAGTTTCCGTTACTGGTTTTCTTTATTATCTTTCGGGAAAATTATCCAAAGGGATAATTGCAATAGAAGCCCCTAATCTTTTAAATACTAACATACATTTCTTAACATTTCATTTGTTACAATCGTCACTCAAAACCTTTCAAAACGTTGTATCTGAGGTCTTTTTAAATAGAATCCATCCAATTTACCGTTAGTTGACCAAGGAAATAAAATCTGACTTTTTTGACCAATTAAGTGGAGTTAAAATCGTAACTTTATAATATTATCATATAAAATAACAATTAAAATTTAAAATAATTGAAAAACCAAAAGAAAATGGAAAAAAAGAAAATAAATTACCCTTCTTCAAAAGCAAACGCTCCTATCCACATATTAACCATTGCCGGTCAACTACACAAATCTCAAAATCTTCAAACTTCTCTGTCTTTAACGCATAAAATGGCTCACCCAATTCTTGAACAAGTTGGTGCTATTACAGTTTTAACTGGACATAAATCTGTGGTTTTGCAGCAAAAAGAACAACTACTTTCGAAGAGGCCCGAGTCTTGGCTCGGCGGTGTGCAAATTGTAACACCACTTCTACTCCGATATGGAGGAATAGTACAAGAGGCCTTAAGGTTTAATTTTACATTTGGGAATTATTTTTCTTTTCTTTGTGATTAAACTATATTGTGAAGAGTGTAAACTAATAGCCATAAATTTGATAGTCACTTTGCAATGCTTGTGGGATTTGTTTCAAGAAGAGAGGAGAGCAAAAGTAGCCACTCGCGAGCTAACTCAACCTAGATCGTTTACATCCCTAATCATGACATGTTTTTATTTCAAGCAGAACTCTCCAAGTTAACAAATTGTTCCAACAAAAGAGAAAAGCTACAGAGAACTCTTCGGACCAAATAATCTTGATTTCCACCACCGAAAATCTAGCTCATTAAAATTGCAAGATTATTGAGGTCATAAATTGAATATTTATCGGGATTTATAAAGCATATTTTTTGAAGGCAACGATTGCAAACAGATGTGAAAATAAAATTAGCAAATTGAGCTTGGCGAGTATCCTAAAGTAAGTTTGAACTGTTTCGAAGTTACAATTGGTAGTGGATAACATTGTGTTATTACTGGATCTTCCTATTTTTGAATTGATGAAACATTGTTTAATCTCTAATCACGAGTTGCTATGATGAAAACTGAAAAGAGCCATTGGCCTATAAACTGTGAAATTGAAAAGAGCCATTGGCCTGTAAAATGAGTTCTTATGATAGAAATTGAAAAGATACATTGTTACCTATGATATTAATCCAATAGTCTATAATCCTCTGGGATTTGTGACTTATGGACATTGATATGTTACCTATGCAATATGATCGGTGATTTGTGACATGTAAACTATTACTTGTGACCTGTAACATATGAAATGTGACTCGTGAACTAAAATCTTTGACATGTTATTAGGGTACAAAGACATGTGACATCTGATTTGGGACTAATTAATGTGACATGTTGACATTGATATGTGACTTATACAATATGACTTGTGATGTGTAGCTTGTGATCTTTGAACCTAAATTATTTGATTTGTGAACAGTAAACATTGATCCATGATCTATCCACAATTACCTGTGACCTGTAAACAAATTGTGAGTCATAATTAAATTTAGTCGTAATCTCACATTTTTTAACAATGATCTGTGATCAGTAACCCTCGTGAACTGTGACCTATGCACAATAATTTATGACCCATAAACTGTTGCCTGTGACCTATGAACATAAATCAGTGGTCTATAATCATATCTCTTCGAGCTGTGATCTGTAGACATTGATCTATTACCTATGCACTATGACGTATAACCTCTAACCCATGAAATGACACGTGACTTGAATATGTGACTAGTTAACAATGTACAAAGACCTATGACAGCTAATCTGTGACCGGTAGCATTTAGCAATTCGAACAACATATCTTTACCAATAACAACAAATAAAATTCATCCCAAAATCTCACCACTGCTGCCATTTGCCAACACCAACAACCAATAAAAGTCACCTCAAAACATGGGCTATATAGCGTATTGGAAAGCTACCTCAAAGACCACCTTGAATTAAATCTTATTTTTGAAATTGGAAACTAAAAAACAGACCTTAGTATAATTTCTATTAACTTTAACTATCGTAATCACGTACCCAAACTTAACAGGGCAAGACCACAACTAACCATATTTAATCTCTTTTAACCACTTTATCCTATGTCGGCCAAAATCAACATTACTATATGACATCACTTTCTCCGAAGTGGAAATTATATGCAACCGGAATTTTAGAGAATACAATTCAAAAATTAGATTTAAGGTTTGTTCATACAAAAATCAGATCTTGATTCAAACTTTTAATATTAATAATGATATAATAAAATTAATTAATTTATCCTACACAATTTCAATCACAAACTTTAATTATGTATCTCATTTCTTTCTCTCTCTATCTTTGGTTAGGGTTTATTAGGCAGATTTCGACTCTCCACACTGCATTTGAAGGTCCACTGGATTCAATGGCGAAACCAGGTCGAAGCCGTCGGGCGTTGTCTCCCAAATCAGGTTTGAACTCTTCTTGCTCAGTTCACGTTCTATTTCTAGCTCTCGCTCTCGTTCACACTCCTCCGGCTTTCGCTCTAGATCCATAACCTCGTCTTCCTCTCCTTCTAATAGTGTTGGCTCATAGAGTCGTAGCCCCGTCCTACAAGAAAAATGTGCTGGAGGTGATGGTGATGTTGGTGGTCAGGTGAGTTGGTAGTGGTCATGGCGCAGCATCGCAGGCTAGTTGTACGATAACATGATCTAATTTTTTGGTGGTCTTTGGGTGGTGGCGATTGTGATATTGGTTGCGGTGGTGAGGTGGTGTTGATGTTGGTGGTCTGGTGAGTTGGTAGTAGTCGTGGGGCAGCGTCGCATCCTGGTTGTAGGACAACACGACTTTGGATCTGATTTTTTGGTGGTCTTTGGGTGGTGGTTGTGATGTTGGCTGCCGTTGTGAGGTGGTGCTGATGTTGGCGGTCTGGTGAGGTTATCATGGCGGTGGTCTGGTGGTTGTGGGTAGGATGGGATGGGATGTTTGTGATCAATAAATTATTTAAATTGTAATTAATAAATAATATATAATCTAAAAATGTCATTGTGACACAATTTATGAAATTGTGATGGAGAAATAATTTTTAATCAATTAATTTGATAATTTATGAACATTAAATACGTTGTGACTTAAAAATTTGTGATTTGTAATCAATATAAATAAATTGTGACCTATAAAATTTTTAATTTGTGAGCGATGAAAAATTGTAACATATACAATTTTTGATTTGTAATAAAAAAATAATGTATGATCAATTATTTGATAATTTGTTATCAAATTTTATAGAATTGTGACCTTAATAAATTTAATTAATAAAATATATTTTTATTTAATTATTTCATAAATAAAATTTAATTAATATTTGATTTTAAAATTTTTAAACTCTGTTTCTTCATTTTAAAGTGGATCGTACTGAATCTCTTACATATGAAATTTTCCATTCTCCAAATCCAAAATGAAACTTGAGCCACAAAAAGACCCAACATAATTGGAGCTTGTTTGGAGAAATTCTTTGAAAGAAAAGAAATGATTTTTTTAGAAATATTATTAAAAAGTAAGAAAATTTTTTGAGGTTAAAATTAGCCCTTGTTTGATCCTTATCTTTCTAAAAAATTATTTTTAACCACACATTTTTTAATAAAATAATATTACATACAAACTCAAAACTTTTCTTTAATTTTTAATATTTTTTATCAATTTACTATTTAAAATATATTTTTATCTAAAAACAGAGCTCAAACAAGGGTTTAATTTTGAATATTTTTGTTTTTCAAAAGAAAATCATTCCCCAATAAGCTCATGTCCATGGGGCCCACCTAGTCAATTCACCTAATCACCTAAAACACTCACTTCCTGCAGCTCCATTTTCGTCAAAATCCCGCGTCAAACGGTGTATTATTCACACGAAACTTTATTTCATCATCACTCACCGAAAACGAACCTCCCAAGAAACTTCCTAGTTACACTTTTCTTCACATATATACGCACAAACTATATCCATTTTCTTGATCATTCTTGAAAAACCCTTTTTAATTTGCTGAATATCTTGCAGTTCTATATTCTGGGTTTTGTGAGTTTTGAGTTGGAATGAGTAATAATATTGATGCTGATATGCAGATAGAATCTACGCAGGAAAAAGATTTTGCTTTGCGTGGTAAAATCATGCTGAGTGCGATAGTTATACTGTTTGGAGTGGTAATTTTCTTGGCGATTCTTCATCTTTATGCTAGATGGTATCTGCTTCGTTTGCGCCGCCGTGAACTCCAACGCCGCCACCGCCGACGCCGCCGCACTCATATTGTTTTCTACGTTGACAACAACCAGCCCAACTCCGCCAACGATCACGGACTGGAGGCGGAGGTTTTGAATTCCCTACCGTTGTTTGCTTACTCCTCCAAGACTCATCCGGAGGGGCTGGAATGCGCCGTGTGCTTATCGGAATTTGAAGAGAATGAGACCGGCCGGTTTTTACCCAAATGCAGTCACTCTTTCCACGTAGAGTGTATTGATATGTGGTTTCGGTCACATTCTACTTGCCCCCTCTGCCGGTCACCCGTTGAACCGGTCACTGAACCGGAGAAGAACTTAGCCGAAACAGTCTTCAGAGTGGATGAACCGGGTTCGAGTTCCGGCAATAATACGGCGTCGATGGGTGATCGGACGAAGAGATTGGATCTGGTTGGAGTAAGAATACAGATACCCAGGACAGAGTTCGATGGCGAGTTATCACTGAGTTCACCCGGATTCAGATCGCCGGGAACTCGGTTATTGTCCTTTAAAAGACTCCTCAGCATGAACAAGAAATCTCCTATGGGGACGCCGTGTGGAGTCGGGACGAGCTGTGTGCAGTTGGGAGCCACCGAGTTGGACTTGGAGAGTGGGAGTAATGAGTTGACTCAGGAGTCAACTGGATTAGTTACGCCAAGCGAGTCGGCGCAACTTGGAAAAAAGAGTGACGTGTCGTAGAACGACGTTGAATTTCGAGGAAAACGACATTCGGCGATTGTCAGATATCTGGTTTTTAGGAAGGTGTTAGTCTCTTAATTTTGATTAATATTAAAATTATACACGCGCAGCGTGCTGGAATGGGCTTTGTATAATATTTCCATCGTAACGCTGTCGTTTATTGACTTGGAATTTGCGTCCAAAGTTATTTATTTTATTTTTATTCTTTTATTACAACTCATCTACAATTATACTTTTATTTCATTTTAAATATTTAGCCCTTGTTTCAGTAGTAATTAAAATTAGATTTTTAATAAATTTTAATAAAAGTTGATGATGAAATATGTAAGTCTTGTTTGGTTTCCATTTTTGTAAGAATTAAAATAAAAATTATAGTTGTTACGGAACTCACACAAAAGATAGAAAGTTAAATATAATGATTTGATATGATGAATAACAGTCATATTTTTTATTTTTATGGCTAAAGAATGGGAATCAAACAGGACATAATTAATAAATTATAGATCCTTCAAAATGTAATTAAACTTAATTATTGACTTTGATTTAAATTAAACATAAAATTTTAGTTGCTAACAAACAGGAACTTAAGATCGATAAAAGAAAACAACCCTGTTCTAGGGTACTAAATCCAACTAAAAGGTTTAGGACAAACCCAATTTTTCAGCGATCCATTAGACACTACCTTAGTAATACAAGGGAATCAAGTCGCTGTGTTAACCGGCAGCATGTATGTCTAAAGGGGATACTAATCGTGGTTTCCGTCTCTTCTTGCCTTGAGGAGTATTGCTTGCCTTTCTTGGACTTGGAGAGGTATTATTAACAACTGGGCGATTCTCCTTTCCCGGCTTGTTTCTTTTACTACTGACGTTTCCTTTCGTTAAAGGAGACTTGGCTCTCTTTTTAGATGACCGAAGCTTCACTCCTTTCCTTCTCTCGTGCCTAAGGAGTCGAACATAGAAAGGATTAGCAGCTGTGTGGCAAGTGAAATTATCATTCTTGTCGCCTCGCGCCAAATCCACATCTCCATTATTCACCTGCACTAGCACATGAAAAGTAAATATCCAAAACTACTCTTTATAGTACGGTGAGCTGCTCAAGTGATAAGAGCAAAGTCTTAGGATTCGAGGATCATTTGGAGGAAAAAATTCGTCCAGCGTTTCATATAGGTTCAAAAGTTAATACTAGAGTTATAACAAGGAACCATTTTCCCAAAACATGCCTCAATCCACAACAAGAGGTGATTGTTTTGTGGTTTTTCCTCTCCTGCAAAATGTATCCGTGGCTAAAATGACGAAACTTTTTGAATGCGGGAATTACCAATTGAAGAAGAGCAGAAAATGTTCGAGCAACATCGTGCTTCTCTTGTCCCCTGACAACATCTCCAAAAGACATGGCCTTTCCCTCGTCTCCTTCCATAGATAGCTTATCAAGAACTCTGTCACCATATTCATGAATATCAAATGTTGGTCGAGCGTCCTGCCAGGAAATGCTATCATTATCTAACTGAAGTACTAAGAGAGAAGAAAACTTAATGGATGGAAGGAAATAGTATAAATACAGACTTGCTCTTCCAAGTTCTGCTCAATTCTTTGTTTCCATGTTGAAACCCGAGTAGCCAATTCAGTCTGCTTCTCAGACTCGGCTAGACTAGCAAGAAGTGAATCCTACAACATAAAATAGGTTATGCATTGCACCAAGTCAATATATTGCTATTCTTTACAACAATTAACTAGACATTGTAGCATTTTCGTCATTGAACACTATCTTCATCAACAATAGAAATTAGGTTGTGCTATATAAAGGTAAGCTGAAACATCTGGTATTACCAAGTGAGACCGGCAGAGATCTTCAAGGCTTGCATTAGCACCAGGATCATCATAAGCTTCATTGAAGTCCAAGTGATTGCCAGCACCATCATGCTGCATAATGTCGAAATATGAGTAGCTAGACAAGGCATCGCGCTAATTTATTTCTAATTGTGTGCATGGTTCACCAGCCTTACGTTTTCTTGGAAAGAAGGTACATCTTCTTGACTGTATTTACTCTCTGGCAAGTCAAAATCAGGTGGTCCGCTATCTGGATCTCCACTATCATATCCATAGTCTTCAAGGTTATCCTCAGGATCATGAAAGGCATTGTTCGTTTTACTCCCTCCAAGAACGAGTGATTCCCGTAGCTGCAATTAGCAGATAGATATTATGTCTGAAACAGACTTGTGCAGCTAAAGAACCACCAAAAGACCAACCTTTTCGTAAAGTGGAGGAGATTGTGATTTTTCTTGTCTTTCTGAGGTACCATGTTTTGCTTCCCATATTTCAGTGAGTTCTGAGCTAATGGGACCATGCAGTTTTGCAAGAGGAAATTCTTCAGATATGGAAATATGTTTCTTGGAACCAACCCCTTGCCTTTTATGAGCTTTTACTACGTGTAAGCAGGGACAAAATCAGAAAGCGTTAGATGGCAGAAAATGATATTGTAAACAAAACGAAAAGGGAAATATACACTAGAACAACCTTTTTTATAAGGTTTAACTTTCAAACTCCCCGGTTCATGAGGATTCAAAGGTTTCCATGGATCATCATCATCGGATTCGTCCAAGTCCACGGGTTCTGGATACCCATCTCCCATTCCAGATTCATCATTGTTGTCGTCAGGAAAATCATGGCCAAGAGAGGAAGACCCCACATTGTAATCGTTAGACTTATTGACAGGATTAACGAAAGGTGACTGAGTAAAATTATTATCCAGGTTCTTTCCAACTGACAACTTATTGCCAGTTCCCCCAGATTGTCTTATTGGTGACTGAAAGCTCTTACGGCCTTTAGAGGCCAGAGAGCTACCTCTGTAGAAATTAGTCTGCCCATTGTTAGCTTTACAATCACCATTTAGAAAATCATTAACCGCAACAGCATCGCAAGAGTCTAGCAATATAAAATCCCGGTATATATCACTGGTGGCTAACTGCAAGCATAACAGTAACAATCAAATTTAGAAATATGCTTACAATTGTCAAAAATTCTCAATAGTCATAATATTATACCAGATAAGACTCTAGTTCCCCATCATCACCACCAGCATCAAAGCAATCCCCTTCAAGGACAACTAGATTTGCAGGGGCCCTTGCAAATTGACTCAGGGGAGAATCTCTACAGGTTGCACTATCTAAAGAAATCTTTGCTTCCACTGCAATATGAAATAATCTAAACCATGATTCTTTCTGACAGTAACAAAATCACAAACACAATAACAACCTACCTGGGATGTCATCTGAAACCCAAAATGAATCATCATCTTCATCCTTTGCAGTATGCGAACCACCAGATTCTTCTGGTCGTGCAGAAGTAGTACCTGCTTGATCTTGCTGACTGGTCATATAACATAACATAAGCAAACTAATCATTAGGTCTCATAATGGAATTCGTTTTTAAATAATTAACCAAGAAACCAAATGATGATTTAGCTATATATATGCATAAATCGATGTGTACAATATGATGCACTTCAAATTTAAAAATGAGCCATATTTTCAGTGTACATTAACTTCGAACATTCACTATGTTGCTGCACTAACCGAAAAAGGAGTAAAACCCAAGCTGATTATCTATTAATTATTTCCGAAAAGATCCATCATATTTCGACCCACTTTTGTTCTGGAAAAAAAAAAGCCTTGAGGATATAATTCTAAAAGTTAATTTAAGTTGAGGAAAAGAAAAGAAACTTTACACTTCTGGAGAAGATAACTAGCTGCAGGATTAACAAAAGTAGAAATACAACAGAAGGGCATTAAAACAATTACAATGATGGGAAAATGACTCCAATTGCTTAATGTTTCATCGAGTTAGCACAAAAATTAAGGCAACTACTACAATAGTTTACAAAATGTCTGCTAAGCTCTACAGATAAACTTCAGCATTTCCAAGCATATTAGGCCCAAGAGCAAAGGCCTGTTGAGAGGAATTCTATCCTTCATGATAGGGATAGGTTTCTTTCCATTATAACATTAATATCTGCGTTTCAGTTGTGGTAATAGTTTTCCTAAATTATACAGGAGTAATGAAATAATACAAGTAAAAGACATAGCTCTAAATATGATTAATTAAACCAAGTTTATTTATATAGTGAGAACATCATTTATCAAATGACATTAATTTCTGCTAGCAATCAATCAAATTATTGATAATAAAGAGAAGGGAATGTTATTTAAGTCTTCCTAGGAAATGTTCTGTGGTATACCTTTAGAATTTCATATTTTGGATGAAAGTATAGAAGTTAGGAAGGGGTATCTGAAAAAATTCCTCATATTGCATCCATTTTATGTACCTATCATTTTCATTTTCATTTTCCACTTATCTCTCCAAAATACAAATTATAAAGGACCTGGGAAAACCAAACCTTTACCCCGTTTATTCCCCACAAGATCAAAGTTGTGGAAGATATAAATAAAAAGGAGCAGATTGATAAAACAAGTTTTCCAAATAGCTTTTGCGTCAACAACTTCAATATTTGCAGAGTGCCATTTTTTTTTTTTTTCCTTCAGTAGTCTTGATTCTAATTCTTCCAAAAGCTTCAAACAATCACTCAAATTCAATGAAATAATTTGTTGCTTTTATAATAATCACAATCTTCACAAATAACAAATGAGCCTGTTTAGCTGCTTAAGTTTTGATCATAGGTATATTTAAAGACAGTCTTCATAGACAGTAACACAGTCCAAAGATACAACTATCAGTTATTACAGCATGAAACATAGAGAAGTTCAGATGATTGTCAAGCTATTTATTTTACAGGGATTGGACTAAAATATTCTTTGTTTTCATGAAAAATATATCAATGGTACGACTCTACAAATTAAGTCAAGGAGAAGTAGAACAAGATATACATCACAACTATAGGGTTCTCTCTGGGGAAAAAACTTAATGAAGGAGACCTGTTGCTCTACCACTGAAACAACATGTTGATAATAGTATCCTACATGTTTTCCCAGCTTAACGGAAAGTTAGAAGAGATAGGGTGTTTCTCTAAAGACCTCCTGTCCCTCCCACCTTTCCCTGTCATTTTCTACCTAAGGTCTAATGGAACCCAAAAATTCGTACAATTTACCCAATGTATAAGATAATCAAATTGTCAATTTGAAGTTATTCCTACAAGATCAAATAAACTACTGCATATGATAGAATTTGAATTCAAGTAAATCGACTTTGCAAGTGAATTCAGATTGTG